GTTAGGGCGATTTTCGGTTCGTTGTACTTTGGGGAGCTCTTTGAAACCCCCCAAAATCGCCTTAACACAATTAAGTTAGGGCGATTTTCGGTTCGTTGTCCTTCGGAGAGCTCTTTAAAAGGCTTTGTACAGGCCCAACCCCCCACGATCGCCCTAACACAATGTGTAAGGGCGATTTTGCGGTTCGCTGTCCTTAGGAGGCTCTTCTAAATATTCTAAAGGACTCCCACTGCTTTCGTTCGCTGGTTTTGAAGAGCTCGTCGGCCAATGCTTTGGATTGAAGGGTGGCTCAGGGTGTCAGGCTTTCTTTCTGGAACCCTGCGAACCGCGAACCGAACCGTCCAGAACCTTCCCTCAAAACCGAACCGCCGAACCGCACCGCAGAAACAGAGACCGTAACCGAACCGAACCGAACCGTTTGCTTCCAACCGCCCAGGTACCTACTATATAGGGTACTAGAGCCCCTAGGGCCCTATATAGTAGGTACTTGGGGGCTAGGGATGTTGAGGGGCAGCAGACATGAACGGACACCACTGATCATGCCACGAGTCGACAGTCATAGACTGTACGACAGCGAAGACGCGCGCGAAGACATCATGGTTTCATTGACAGCCCATTGGCTTCTGTGCATCAGCCAGTTTTGGTGGTTCTGGAGAACGTGATGGGTCTTCTTTCCAGCCCCATGGGCACCGCTGTGGTTTGGATGACGGATGTCCAGGAATTTGGTCTGCCAGAGTCCCGACCACGGACGTATGTTGTCTGTGTCAAGCTGGCGGCTATCCACCTCAAGTTCAATTGGCCCGCGCCAAGCCAGATCTCCAAGAACACCCTGGGGCACCAGTTGACCGTTGAGCCCAAAACCCTAAATCGTAGAACCCTGAACCCTATGAAACCTAAAACCCTAAAGCCGTATAGCTGGTGCCCTAAACCCTAAAGCTCCAACGCCCAAAACCCTATAAACCCTAGACCTTAAAATCTTTATAACACCCTAAACCCACACTCCCCTTCAACCCTTCAGAACCAATGCCCAAAGCCTTAACACACTGAAGCCCAAAGCCCTTAGCCACGGTTTAGGGTTGAGGGTTTAGGGTTCAGGGTTTCCGTGCCCCAAAGCCTTAAAACAGAAAAACCCTGAAGCCCAGAAGCCCCAGAACTCAAACTCGCAAAGTGGAAGTCAGAAAGTTGGAACATCATTACCCAAGGTAAAGTATATATAGGGGGGATCCTAGCAACAATCATCCCCAATTCATGTTCCGATGTCATGGATCCCAAATCCCCAAACCCCTGAAAGCGTAAACCTACACTCCGAAACCCCAAACCCGCAACCCCAGAAGCCTTGAGCCCTAAACCATAAACCCTAAACCCCTAAACCCCTAAACCCCAGACCCCAAACCCTAAACCGTCAACCCTAAACCCTAAATCCTAAATCCTAGACCCTAAACCCTAGACCCTATAGACCCTAAACCCTAGACCCTAAACCCCCCAAGCCCTAAATCGTAGGCTCTTGCTGGACTGGAAAGCGGACCCAGAGAGCCGAAGCCGCGCCGGTCTCACCGTTCTGGAGCTCCGTTGTCCGTGTTTCCGGGGTTCTTTTAAGGGGTTTAGGCTTCAGGGTTTAAGGGTTCTGGAGCTCCGTTGTCCGTGCTTTCGGGTTTCTTTTAAGGGGTTCAGGGTTTAAGGGTTCCGGGCCGGGGTTTAGGGTCTGTGATTTAAGGGTTCTTGTGAGGGGTCTGGGGCTTTAGGGTTTAGGGTCTGTGTTTTAAGGGTTCGCTTAAAGGTTTCTGCGGTTTTTTAAAGTACATATATATATATATATTATATACGGCTCCCTTCTAAGATGTTGTTTGGTGGTACATGTGTTTTTTGGTTTTTGAGTATGAAAGGTTCCAGTTGACCAGGACCCGCCCCCAGTACCCTTGAATAGAGACCTCATGGTTCTTAAGAGTGGGTATTCGCAGGGTTTATTGGAGGGTAGTTTGGGGGTCTGGGTAGGTTTAGAGTATGGGGTTTAGCGGTCTTTCAATGGCTTCCCCTTGTAGGGCTTGAAAGGGTTCCTTCAAGCCTTCCTTCAAGGGTCTGATAGTTATGAGGGTTTAGGTTTAAGATCGTTAAAGGGTCGTTTACGGGCTCCATTTTAGAGTCTACTGTGGGGTTCAGTGGCCTTTCAATTAGGACGCTCAGTAACATTTTTTAGTTTTTCGGTTTTGCTCTCCCCCACATCATCATATGACTAGCCCCTAAACCCTAAACCCCTGAACAAACCCCAAAAAACGTATAAACTTGTCCCTCTGCGGCGTTACTGAACGGTTTCGTTCACATTTCGGCGGTGGTGGCTTCGGGCTTCGGGTCTTCGACGGGTGTGGGGTTTAGGGTGTGGGGTTTAGGGTTTAGGGTTTAGGGTTTAGGGTTTAGGGTGTAAAGGGGTTTAGAGTTTAGGGTTCAGGGTTTAAAGCGATTTAAGGTTTAGGGTTCAGGGTTCAAGGTTTAGGGTTTGAAGTTCTGGGCTCTGGCGTCGCTATGTTCATGTGGGTAGCACTGTAATTTAGGGTCCCAGTTTTAGGTCCACGATTATTTAGTCCGTCACCTTTTATAAAAAGGACCCAAAAAGGGACCCTAATTCGGAGAACTACCCATGTCAACGACCCCACACCCCTAAAAGTCTCGGGCCTGAGGATTTCGACGTGCTTGGGAGCTTTGGAAGTCAACACTTGGGTAGTTCTCTAACTTAAGGTCCCTCTTTAGCATCCTATGTATAAGGTTGCGGGACCTAAAACGGGACCCTAGCTTAGAAAACTGCCCAGTTGCAGCCCATGGTTTAGTGTTTAGGGTTGAGGGGATGCTGTCGTTAAATTGTCTGTTATCTTTATGACTTCGATGCGTGGGGTGATTACTTATTCTCATGCTTCACATTGCTGGTGCTTGAAGTGAGTGTCTTCTGGTCCTGGTATGTGACAGATGACAGGCTTTACATCAAAAACTCACAGTATGAGATGTCAGCTAGCCCTCATCGAAGCCTGAAAAAGTACCAACTCCTTGCCTGGTGCAGCCTTAGAACAGTTCCCGTAACATGAACACACGGTCTATAACCTCCAAGCCCAGTTCTAATTGCTAGGGCCGACCCTTCATACGATGAAAGCTATCTTGGGTTTGAGAGTGGCCTGTGCAGGACTCTGCGATCAATGCAGGGTCTACATTGGTGGCGCACTTGCCGCTTTGATCGCGTTAGTGTTATGAGCCTGTGTGTTTCTATTTTCGTTTGAACATGTAAGTGTTTAAACTTTCCAGCCTAAGCCCAAAAGGCTTACGTACATCTTAAGCCCTAAGTGGCAGCTTAAAGCCGGAGCGCAAGCAGAACACGAATTGGCTTTTGCCACAATCGGGAGACCTTGAAGTCTCGACTTGCTTAGGGCATACCTAAAGGATCATGGGACTTAGTAACTAGGGTTATAATTAAGGTAACTATACTTATAATTACTTATAACCCCAAATACGGTACTTACAACCCTACTTGCTAAGTCCCATGATCCTCCAAGTAGGGCATACTAGGTTCACCATCGCAGCCGTGATCATCAGTCTCTCTTGCAGTTAGAGTACAGTATGCCAAAGGCCCTATAGTTGTATTGTAAAAGCCACTACATTCTGAACATCTACATCCCAGACTTTGGGCGTGGGTTTTAGGGCATAAGGGCTTGGGGTTACCCCGGAACACTACAAGGCCTGAGCCCCAAACCCTGAACTTTTGAAGGGTTTAGGGTTTAGGGTTTAGGATTGTTTACATCCGACTACGCCCTGAAACCCGACCCCTACTCCCAAGACCTTAGCCCCGGGATCCTGAGCCGTGTTTCTGCTGCCTGTGGCTCACGCCCCAAATGCATTTACCCGTCTTGGCTGCCGCGAGCCACAGGGCTGCTTTCTCCGACATGTTCGCAGCAGTTGAAGAAGGCATACAAGGTCTTAGGAAGTGTTTTCATAGGGTGTCCTCCTACTAGTTACTACATGATACCAAACCCAGGATTCATACAAACTTTACAAAACCCTACGAAGCCTTCCTAAACCCTCTACAGTTGCAGCAACACCCGAGAAGTCCCCACCACCCTGAGTCACCTTCTGAGGCTCCTGGACCGGGGTGCAGGGAGCTCCCAACCGCAGGAGATCGTCCTTCTCATCGGTTTCAAAAATCGCTAGGGCTGAGGCCCTTGATTGCTCTATAGAGGTTCGATATGGATTTAGGATTTAGGGTTCAGGGATGGCGGAGTTTAGGCTATCGGGATGCAGGCTTAGGATGTTCGGTTTCTCGGACTGCACGGTCGGCCTGTTCTGGCTGCTTTCCGCCGTGGGAGTGTGTGCATCATGATGCAGGATGGTCGACAACGGTACAATACTTCAAACGTGAATAGAGTTACATGCCCCTAGACCTTGACTTGAGCACCTCACATGCGAGGCACATCACATCACAAATGTCCGGACTGAATGACATGCTTGGCAAGTGCACAGTGTAATTAAGAGATCTGGTCCCAATAATTACAGAGGATGATTAGACTGAGTCTTGTGAGACGGTTGCATGCTAAATCTTAGCCGGGAGAGCCCTTTCCGGATTCCGACACAGATCCTAGAGCCACATGCGCACGGACACTTGATGAACTAAGGCTTCTAGGGTTCATTGTTGAGGCTGAGGGTCTGGGTGTTGTGTCGGTTCAGGGCGTGGGGTGTGTAGGCAAGATTCGCTAACCCTGGGCTGCATGCTTTCGCTGTTGTGCTTTGCTGCTTCACGGTTTCAGGGTGCTGGCCTTACTGCAATTCACGATCACCCACCTCTAGAAGCCCTCAGCCCCACCAGCACTCCCCCAAGTACCCTTTAATAAGGCCCCTGACGGTGTTTACCAGTCTGTACTCAGGGTCTAGTGAGGGTGGTTGGGGGTTGTTGGCAACCCGGGAATATTACTATTGTTAGGTCTCGGATTGGGGGGCCGCCTTTTTACCGAGGTCCAAGCCTAAACCCTAAAACCTAAAGCCCGCCAGCCAAACTCCGAAGAAACTGCGGCAAGACCTGGACTAAACCCCACCCTGCTACAGAATTAACCAGGGTGCCTTACCAAAAAGGTCGATTTCGATAGTTCGAGGCCGGCCTAAGCCCTATAAGCGCTCTGATCGTTGCGAGGACGCCTTGCTCGTGGCTGCAGGAAGTCGAGGCAAACTGGGCTGTACGGGTTGGGGTGTCAGGTTTAAGGGTTCCGGCTTTAGTGTTCTGAGGGACTTCAAACACGTATCGGCTGGAAAGGCCCACCATTCCTTAACAAAATAACCCGAAGGGTCCATGTACCCAAAGTATAGACTTTGGCTCCACAGTACTTATAAAGGAACTACTTTACGGCCAATGTATATACTGTTTGGGTACATGGACCCATAGGGTAACACATACCTTCATCAACAGATCCGAAGACGCCGACTGAAACAACAACAGACAAATCCCCAGAAGGCGCCGACGCAAAGCGCAAATATAGGGCCAACAAAAAATCGAGTAGGGTTTGGGGCAGATTACACTATAATTTACAATAACCCCCAAAACCCTGTTCTAATTTTTTTAGGCCCCGACATTAAGCAAAATCCCCCTCTTGGCTGGAGTTGCTTTACGTGTCGGCTTCTTCAATTGCGGATCCCGAAGTCGAAGCCCGAAGCCGAGGGATCCTGGGGGAGCAAGTGACCCTTGAAGGTAGGTTTAGGGTTTAGGGTTTAGGGTTTAGGGTTTAGGGTTTAGGGTTTAGGGTTTAGGGTTTAGGGTTTAGGGTTTAGGGTAGGTGTCTTATACACAGTGGCTCCGATTAGGGTTTAGGGTTTATTAGGACTTCTGTAAGGGTTCTATACCGGGTCTAGAAGACTGTAGCTTAGGGGCTGAGTAGGTAACCTTTAGCCTTTTGGGCGCTTCTAGAACCCTACGAGCGAGAATTCCAAAAGGTTTAGCCTTTCTCGGGCTAGGGTTGGAAAACCTAAACTTCAGCCCTAAGTTGCGTAGGGTTCAGGGTTTAGGCTTTTGGGGTTGAGCTTTGGTATTGGGGGTTAAAGGGGAGGCTGCAGCATGAACATCTCCGATTCCAGATTCCACCTCGGAGGCATGCTCTAGGACGCGAGGCTGGTAAACCCTAGACCCCTAAACCCCTAAACCCTAAACCCTATAAACCCTATCAGCCCTAAACCCTAAACCCTAAACCGTAGATCAGGGTTCGGGCTTGAGGCATTAATTTAGCTAGTTCAGGGGTTAGGGTTAAACAGTAAATGCTACTTTCACCACCAGGAACCTGCCTTGTCCGGGTTCCTCGTACATGTCTTGAAGAAGGTAAGGAAGTGGCCTAAAGCATTACCTACCTTATTTTGGGGGTTCCTTCTTATAGTTATAGCATAATGGGCCCCACAACCCTATTCGAATTATTAAGGCCCCTATGTTAGGTTATGTTCGGGTTAAGGGGCCAGACCTGAAACCGGATCCCTAGGCTTATGATGACAAAAAGCCCTTTGATCCTCCCCGTGCTCTTGTGGTCCTGAACCCTAAACCCTAAAGCCTGAACCCTAAACCCTGAACCCTAAACCCTGAACCCGAAGCCCTAAACGCTAAACCCTCAAACCCTAAACCCTAAACCCTAGACCCTAAACCCTCAACCTTAAACCCTAGACCCTAAGCCCTGAACCCTAAACCCTCAAACCCTAAACCCTCAACCCTAGGGGTATCGTGGTACTA